ATACAAAGTCAGAAGGAAAAAGGAGTCAGTACTTGAGGATCCACCTTCCCATGCCATCCAAAAGGGTAGGGGATACAGAAAGAAAGGCAACAGAGAATATTCCTTTGTCAGTGAAATGCTCAAATTCAGATCCTTACTCAACTCAGTGAGAATCTATCATATTTATTTTTAAATATGAAAATGGTGTCAGGGGAAAATGCTATTGCTTCAGACTGAATGCAGGTATGTAAGTAGGGAAAATGCTATTGCTTCAGACTGAATGCAGGTATGTAAGTAGTCAATATCACTGAAACCAAATTAACCATGAGATTCAAAATACATTTTAAATATGTTTATGATAAACAGTCTGTTGTGACTGAACCTATTCATTTATACTGAAATGACATATTGCTGCACTAACCAATTACCACATAAGAGCATTAATGGTGTTAAGGAATTTCAGCTGTAAGCTTTACACTGAATAGAAAACAGAAGAAATGAACATAGAAGAGGTAGAAATAGGATATGTCCTTTTCATTTATCCAGCTAAAATTTAGTTTAGCTTTCCAGGGTATACCAGTCAAAAAATATTTAACACTTGATTCTGCTGATTGACTTAAACTTCCCATTCCTTTCTATGGCCAGAAAACCACTTGCTTGGCAACCTTAAAAAAAAAAAAAAAAAAAAAAAAAGGAAAATAATCTGCTCAATGTTAATTGTAATTCACTGACCTCATTTTCTTTTGTTAGAAAAGTCCCAGCAAAATATGGATCACAGCCATGAATCAGGCCTGTACATTCCAATCAAGTTCCCTGGTTTTGACCTCCTTAGGGATAGGGTAGAAGAGGATGATGCTAAGACCCTAGAGAAGTCATACTGGGTCACTGACAAAACGCTTTTTTTTAAATCATTAAAATCCTATTGAAAAAGTACCAAAGGTAGCTCAGTGGGGGAAATGACAGTCTTTTAAACAAATAGTTCTACATACTACATAGTTTTTGAAGGCATAGTTTTGAAGTTTTCAACGCCTACATGTTTTCTCACGAATAAAACCAAAGTGAGGCCTGTCAGATTATCTGTATGTTCCCTTCTGAATCCACTGGATTCTGTGTTTAAGTGTGTTTAAACAAGGCTGTCATCAACAATCATCTTGACTTTTAAAAGTGTATTCTACTTCAGAATTATGTGTGGAATAAACACCTTAAAAGTGAAAAAATAAACAAATGGTTCTAGAAATTCCATGACCATATATACAAAAAAAAAGAGAACCTATATACACACTTTACAATTTCACAAATATTTACTAAAACTAGATCATAGACCCAAATATGAAATGCAAAACTATAATACTGCTAGTAGAAAACAGAGGAGTTTTTAAGATACAATACCAAAAGCACAACCAATGAAAGAAAATTGATAGTTGGGCTTCATTAAAAGAAAAAAGACCCAAAACTTCTGCTCTAAGAAAATTAAAAATTAAGCCACAGACCAGAAGAAAATATTTATAAAACACATACTTAATAAAGGACTTGTATCCAAAATAGACATATTTAAAATCGAAAACAAGAAAACAACCCAATTAAGAAAAGAAAAATGACATAAACAGACACCTTACCAATGAAAATATATAGACTGCAAATAAGCACATGAAAAGATGCTCAAGATCATGTCTTTATGAAGTTGCAAAGTAATCAACAATTATAGTCCACTAAACATTTATTAGAATGGCTAAATTAAAAAAAAATCCTGACAATAAAAATTTCTGGTAAGGAGGTAGAACAACAGAATCTCTCATCCATTGCAGGTGGGAATCCAAAACAGTACAACCATTTGGAAAACAATTTTGCAGGTTCTCAAAAGCTAATCATAGTTTACCATATGCAATCTAGCAATTTTGCTCCTAGGTATTTACTAAACTGATTTGAAAACTTATACCTACATGAATAGCTATCTGCATGTGAATATTTATAGCACTTTTATTCATGATTGCACATATTGGAAGCAAAAAAGACATCCTTTAATAAGTGAATGGATGTACAAACTGTGGTGTACCCATACAATGAAATATTATTCAATGATAAAAAGAAATGACCTGTCGGGCAAGGAAGACAGGGATGGATTTCAAAGCCATATTGCTAACTGAAAGATGACTGTCTGAAAAGGCTACCTATTTTATTATTCCAATTATATGCCATTTCAGAAAAGGCAAAAATACAGAGACAGAAAAAGATCAGTGATTGCCAGGAGTTCAGAGAGAGTGGCTATGTTGAGTAGGTGAAGCACAGGAGATATTACCATCATGGAAAATTAGGTAACGAGTATATAGGCTCTCTGCATTATTTCTTACTGCTGCATGTAAATCTACAATTATCTCAAAATAAAAAGTTTGGGGCTTCCCTGGTGGCACAGTGGTTGAGAGTCCGCCTGCCGATGCAGGGGACGCGGGTTCGTGCCCCGGTCTGGGAAGATCCCATGTGCCGCGGAGCAGCTGGGCCCGTGAGCAGTGGCCGCTGGGCCTGCGCGTCCGGAGCCTGTGTTCCACAACGGGAGAGGCCACAGCAGTGAGAGGCCCGCGTAGCGCAAAAAAAAAAAAAATAATTAAGAAAACCAACCAGGTGAAACCAAGTTAATAATACATTTCATTTACCCCAATATATCTAAAATATCATCATTTCAACATGTAATCAATATAAAATAGTAATAAGATGTTTTCCATTATTTTGGTATAAGCCTTCAAAGTCTGGTGTATATTTTATATGGATAGCATATCTCAAATCAGATGCTCAGTTTCCTCAGGAATGCTTGATCTATGCTTGATCTATATTTACATTTCATAAAATTTAATGTTGAAAAATTAGATTCATATGTGCAAGTTATCCCAAACATACTTAAATACTTCCAATAATTGAAACAGTTACCAAAAAGGCATTTTCCTTTAATATCTCTATCCACATGGCCAAAACTGGCTCATCTCTTTTAGAAAAATTGATTTCACTTTGAAGCAAAAACGCATCGATTTCAAATTACATATGTCCAAGTGAATTAAATTCACTAATTCTTGTATCAACTAAGTATTATTAATATGGAATTCAAAGGGAGTATTTCATAAGTTGAAAGTACTTTCAGTGTACCAATATATACAAAATGTTCTTCACATTTGTCTTGTAGTTTTTGCAGTCAATGTATATAACGCTGTCTATTACAATTAATACCTTCATGTTGATTCAGGATAGGAAAATGTGTAATGTCATTATTATTTATATAAATTCTGAAAAGTTTCTATTTGCGTATAAAATTGTGTACCTCTCTAGCTGCGTCACAAGCTTTTCCTTTCCTTGGAGCTTCAGTTCCATCTCATTGAGATGCAATGTAGTACTGGTGAGAAAATGTAAATCATAGCATCAATTTTGGCTTTGATTACTGAATATTTGGCAAGTATCCCCCCCCTTTTTTTAAACATCTTTTTTGGAGTATAATTGCTTTACAATGGTGTGTTAGTTTCTGCTGTATAACAAAGTGAATCAGCTATGAGTGTACATATATCCCCATATCTAATCCCTCTTGCGTCTCCCTCCCACCCTCCCTATCCCACCCCTCTAGTTGGAGACAAAGCGCCGATCTGACCTCCCTGTGCTATGTGGCTGCTTCCCACTAGCTATCTATTTTACATAAAAATATGGAACACTTCATGAATTTGCGCATCATCCTTGTGCAGGGGCCATGCTAATCTTCTCTGTATCGTTCCAATTTTAGCATATGTGCTGCCGAAGCAGGCACCCCTCCCCCTTTTTTAAAGGAAATCTCGAATTGAAGTTAATGGTGGAGTAAATATTTGTAAAGCTCTTTCATGACTCAACCAATGAGCGTTGACAAAGACCACAGATCATTACATTTGCTGTCTTTCGTTACTTTTAAGAGTTCCATCAACTGGTGCTGATTCATAACATTGCAGTAATATACTAAACAACTTCACCACTGTACTTTTGATATAGAGTCTGCTTCAGAACATTGAGCAAAATAGTTTTAATATGTATCACGCTGGGAATGAAGTAACAAGAAAAACATCATCCCATAAATCCAGATTTTTTTTTTTTTTTTTTTGCAGTACGCAGGCCTCTCACTGTTGTGGCCTCTCCCGTTGCGGAGCACAGGCTCCGGACGCGCAGGCTCAGCGGCCATGGCTCACGGGCCCAGCCGCTCCGCGGCATGTGGGATCTTCCCGGACCGGGGCACAAACCCGTGTCCCCTGCATCGGCAGGCGGACTGTCAACCACTGTGCCACCAGGGAAGCCCCAAATCCAGATGTTTTACCTGACTTAGCTGGAATACCACTTTTCTTATTGAGCTTAAATTCTTTTTTGACAAATGTAAAAGATTCAGATCTATCCCATGAGTTTTATTTCGTAGGCTTCAAATTGATATTTCTTCATAAATTTGGATGCACTTTGACACAAAATATATCCAAAGTGTTACCTGGGCAATGTCTCTTACATTACATGCAGTAGTGACCTCTGAGTTGAGACTGGTCCCAAGGGGTCTTTTACAGTACTATATGGGCTCCAAACCCAGAAGCATAGAGTAAAAAACAAGGGAGTCCAAGGTCATGATGCAGTATACCCTATATGACTGTAAATTTAATCCAAGAGCTCTCTAGTGATTATAGCTATCTGAAAATGCAGTGCATTGAATGGATAGATTGTGAAGTTTTCCATATTTGAAGTGTTCAATTAAAGTCAGAGTTTGGTAGGGATCCCACTTGTTCTTTTTGATTGTTACAGAATTTTCAGCAGTAGGCATAAAACTAGTAGTATAATAAAAAATGGGTCTCTTCACCCCTGTCCACTTTATCTGAATACTAGTTAGAGACTGGGGATCTAGAGCACCAGGAAAAATTTCTCAAAGCATCCTTTTCCTTGTGGTATCACAGAGTACTTAATTCTAAACACCAACCATAATGATAGGGTCTAGACAGAGTATTGTTTCTTATGATTTTGAAAATAAATTGTCTCTAATTCTTTACCTATATTCATAACAATTGGAAATACATTTGCATGCATATTTGATCACGCTGCAAGTCTTCAGACTTCTTCATCCTTAGGAAAATACTTGAGGAGAAAAAGAAAAAGATATGTTTCACACCACATCCTATCAGCTCACAGTACCTAAATTCAATATACCAAATAAAGGCCACTCAAGGCAGTGAACACAGTTCATCTCCAGAGACAGGACTATCAATCAAATGATTTTGCTTCCTCTCCCATCCTTGAGCATCCTGGGACCTGGCTATTGGTCTTTAACAACAACAACAACAAATCTGCTTTGCTACAAAACCAGTGAAATATTCAGATCCTACCTGTATGTGTTCTTGCCTGTGCAGTAACCTCTGACTCTTAGCTAGTCTACCTAACTGTTATCTGTGAGAGACAAGTATGTATATATACAAGGATGTAGGATACTGCCTGGAAATTAAAAGACACTAACATAATAGAAAATATTATCAGTAAATTTTACTTGACTATGGGTTGCTCACATTTCAGAACAGGAAATAGCTGTCATGGGCACTGAGGTGGAATATGTTTCCATGTTACTAATATTTTATCAGCTGAAAAGTCAGTCCCTTCCAGGTACACCCACAACCTAGTAAATGTCAAAGATGAATGTAAGAGACTTGGGGATTCTCTTCATTGCCTTTATTAGTATGCATTAGTGTTGTTTTTGTAGATAGGTTCACATTTTCAGTGACTCATCAAATATTTGATAGGGATACTGTTCAATACCTTCAAGTGAGACAAAGGAATAAAAGGCCACCTATGGCCTTGGTGTCTTTAGGGAATAAAGATAGAGGATCTGGCAAATTCTGTGTGCCCCTTAAGTTCGTTATAAAACAAGTACTATTCACAAGCTGTTACACCATGAGCAATTTAGTAGAGTCGATATCCAAGCCTACACCAATTCTCCTGGTCCAATTATTGCTGTGTATCTATAGGTCATTCTTTTACTTTCTGAGTTTGTATATTTGCTGAGTGTTGAATCTCACAGGCATAGAGAGAGTCTTCTTCCTGGAATCCTCTCCTAACTTCCTTCTGCTTACCTATATGTTTCCTCTGTTTAATTTTCACCTCCCTGGAGAGGCTTCCTTGATGGCTTAGGCTTTAAAGCTCAGAAAGACTACAGCAATTTTTGTGTATGCCACATGGGTGCTATTTATCTTGTGCGGGCGCCCAAGCCATCTATCCTTTGGTAGACCTGGGACCGAGCACAGGGGACTGCAAGTAGGAAGTGCACAGCACAGGTGTGCTGTGCACTCAGCCTCTCACTGCTCTGGGGGAAGCATTCCGTTTATTGGATAAAATAATTAGGGGGTGGAATATTATAATGAAAGAGAAAACTCTCAGATTTTATAATTGTGAACATATGAAATGCTGCCTTATCCACAGCCTACACCAGACCTATATAGTGATGTACTACTGTCATCCGTATTGCCAAAACAAATGCAAAAAAATAAACAAAACCCCTGCACAACATGATACTGGTACTGTATTTTAGAAACTGACAGCAGGCTATTTTTATCTTTAGCCCAAGCTGAACGCTGACTTCGCCTTGATTTCCCTCCCTTGGCAAGGGCAGAGACTACAGCTTAGAAGCTTCTCTAACCTCCCACAACCCAGTGTTTAACCTACAGATTTATATACAGTAATGCTCAGCGAATGCCTGCTAAATCAGTGGGCTTTAATGTAAGGTACATGTCCTTGGAGTACACAGATAATTTCCAAGAGGCCCACAGGCACGGCTACACCTAAGGACACCAGTTTTCAGATCTTCCACTGCCTATGTACCCTTTCTAAAACTAACCTGCCTGAACACACCTCTGGTCCAGGCTCATGCTGGTTCTGCTTTCACATGGCCACTTCAAAATTGTCCTCCCGCTTTACAAAAGAAAGGCATCCAACTCAAAAATCTGGAATCTTACTATAGTGCCTTACATTATACTGATAGCCTCCCAGATGCCAAGCAAAAGGGAAATTTGCAATACAGTGAAACTTCCTTTAACAAAGAATGGTATTGAAATGTGGTATTTGGAGTTATCTTGGAAAGTTCTGAATCCAGATACATTGTAGAATGGGGTGGTGAAGAAAAAAAATTGCTTAACGAACTCTCTTCCTCCATATCCCAAGCATTTTCAAAGAACTGATTATCAGTAGAGTTTTGTGAGAGCAAAACAAAGAGAGCATTGTTAAGAAATATGGATGGTGATGGTACTTTCAGATAGGTGACAAACTCAAGGTAATGCTTTGTGCCTTACCCATCTTAGATTTAGAATTCAGAAGTCAGATGCAGTCATGAAGAGTATATTAATACACTTATTTAAATTGGAAAAAAATGAAGTCAGACTTTTTCTGACAGTCTGATTGGTTTCATAATGAAGACTGCCGTTGATAATTAGTTTATTTGACAAGTTGATTGCCAAATTTTTAATAAGCTAAATCTGCATCCCCACAATTTTGAGAAAGATATATTTAAAACTCATGATAAGATGAATCATTTTATATAAAACATCTTTTATTTTCAAAAGTGGGTTGAAATTAACAATATTTTAATTCCTCAAAGCTTTCCAAGTATACAAAGGTTCCTATAAGTAAGGGAGGAACACATGTAACTAGGACCCATTTAAAAATTTTCAGAATAGTTATGAGCACACATATTCCATAAAGGCAGGGGTCTTTATTTTCTTTGGTTCACTGTTTTATTTTAGCCTACAACAATACCTGACACATAGCAGACACTCAATAAATATTTGATGATAAATGAATAAAGTTTTCTGTATTCCCCTGGTACTGGTTTCTCAGCATGTTGAAGAAAGAGCAGTATGTCAACTTTTAGAATCTTTTTTTTACTCTTTCACAATTTTCCACTTGCAAAGTTGAACCTTTCACATAATTTAGTGCCATTTAGTTTTGTCTTTTTCTCCTGGATTTCACACATATTTTTTTCTTCTTCTTTTTTTCTTTTTTGCGTTTAAGGGAAGGAAAGTTTGGTGATATGCCTCAATTCAATTAAGTTTTCTTAGAAATCCAAACTTTGGAAAGACTTTTATGGCTCCCATACTTATTAGAAAAATGAAGACAAAGGGAAATTCAATGACTTAAACTCACTGCTATTTCTAGTCAGAGTATACTGCTCTTGGCTGTCATCATAATGTGCTCTATAGTGAACGAATTGGCCTAACAACAATAGCATCAAAAAGAATAAAAAAAAATAGGAATAAATTTAACCAAGGCTGTGAAATAACTGTATGTTGAAAACAATAAGACAGTGATGAAAGAAACTGAAGACAACACAAACAGATGGAAAGATATACTACGTTCATACACTGGAAGAATCAATACTGTTAAAATGACTATACTACCCAAGGCAATCTACAGAATCAAAACAACTCCTATCAATATTCCAACGGCATTTTTCACAGAAATAGAACAAACAATCCTAAAGTTTGTATGGAACCACAAAAGACCCTAAATAGCTAAAGCTGTCTTGAGAAAGAACAAAGCTGAAGTCATCATTCTTCCTGATTTCAAACTATACCACAAAGCCACAGTAATCAAAACGGTATGGTATTGGCATGAAAACAGACACATAGATCAATGGAACAGAATAGAGATCAGAAATAAACTCATGCACATATGGTCAACTAATTTATGACAAAGGAGTCAAGAATATACAATGAGGAAAGATAGTCTCTTCAATAAATGGTGGTGGGAAAACTGGATAGCCACATGCAAAAAAAAAAAAAGAAAAAGAAAAAAATGAAACTAGATTTCTATCTTACTCCATACACAAAAATCAAATCAAAATGGATTAAAGACTTGAACATAGGACCTGAAACCATAAAAGTCCTAGAAGAAAACATAGGGGATAAGCTCCCATTGATCTTGGTGATGATATTTAGATTTGACACCAAAAGCAAAAGCAACAAAAGTAAAAATAAATAAGTGGGACTACATCAAATTAAAAGGTTCTGCAAAGCAAAGGAAACCATCAACAAAATGAAAAGGCATCCTACAGAATGGGAGAAAATATTTGCAAGTCATGTATCTGATAAGGGGTTAATATCTAAAAAATATGTTTTTAAAAACTCACACCACCAAATAGCAAAACAAGCCAACCATCTGATTGAAAAATCGGCAGAGGAACTGAATAGACATTTTTCTAAAAAAGGTATACAAATGGCCAACAGGTACATGAAAAGGTGCTCAACATCACTACTCATCAGGGAAATGCAAAACAAAACAATGAGATATCACCTCACACCTGTTAAAATGGCTATCATCAAAAACACAAGAAATAACAAGTGTTGGTGGGGATGTGGAGAAAAGGGAGCCCTTGTGCATTGTGGATGGGAATGTAAATTGGTGCAGCCACTGAAAAACAATATGGAAGTTCCTAAAAATTATTAAATAGAGCTACGATATAATCCAGCAATTGCACTTCTGGGTATATATCCAAAGGCATTAAAAATAGGATCTCAAAAAGATATCTCACTACCATGTTCATTGCAGCATTATGCACAAGAGCCAAGCTATGGAAACAACATAAGTGTCCATGGACAAATCAATGGATAAAGAAGGCGTGTGTGTGTGTGTGTGTGTGTGTGTGTGTGTGTGTGTGTGTGTTTGTATACAGTGTATGTATGTACATACAACAAAATATTATTCAACCTTGAGAAAAAAAGGAAATCTTGCTATTTGCGACAGCATGGATGGAACTTGAGGACATTATGCTAAGTGAAATAAGTCAGACAGAGAAAGACAAAACCACATAGTATTACTTATACGTGGAGTTAAAAAAAAAAGTCAAACTCTTAGGAACAAAGAGTAGAAAAGTGGTTGCCAGGGGCCAGGGCAGGGGGTGGGAGAAATAGGGGGGTTGATAAAACGGTACAAACTTTCAGCTGAAAGATGAATAAGGTCTGAGGATCTAATATAAAACATGGTGACTACAGTTTGATATAACACTATATTGTATAACTGAAATTTACTAAGAGAGTA